TAATTTCTTATTGAAGCAGCAGTCAGAGTAGTGATAATATTTAAGTTATCTCAAGCTGATTTAGTTATTAATCATCAGTCATCTTCTACTTTAACTATAAGTACTGTCATCACACATATCAGTAATTATACAAAAAAAGCAAAGTTTATATAATATATGAAGAGACAGCTGAATATATATATTAATTTATACTATATTAAGCAGATTAAAGAATATACAGTATTCAATAACTGTAATATTCTGATAAAAGAGAATAAGTATTAAGACTATAAGAATCTAGTGCAGTGAATAAATTATTAAGATATAAAAAAGATACTACTCTTATAGAAGAGTTTTCACTGAACTTTATAACTAGTATTAAGAGATTTCTTTGACAGCTCTGATATATATCTGATACAGAAGATTCAAGATTTATATACAGTTTATTCAGCACTGTTCAATAATCTACTGAGAATGAATGAAGAAGCTGAAGATAAGAATGATAATTCACTGAACTACTCTATTAAGTTAGAGTTAATAAAAGATTATATCACTCTGAAGATTTTTAATTATCTATTATTAAGCAAGATATCAGAGAAAGTCAGTATATAATTTATAAATCTCTTTAAGCTTGAATTATTTTATTCATTTCTTAATAAGCTATAAGAATTCTATAATACTGATTAAAATAAGTTCTCAGTTTTGAAACCAGGTCACTGTTCAATACTTTTCTATAATAAATTAACATTCTCAGTTCAGTATATCTATTCAATCAATTAATTAATTAATTAGTTATTAACTTACTAATATATAAATCAGAGATTATATTCACTGAATCTCTCTTATAAAAGAAGATATCATTCAATATCAGAGAGCAGAGCTTGACTGAATTATAATTATATTTATTTATAAAATGAAAGAAATTAAGTGAATTTTCTTTACACTTATTTCTCTACATTATATCATGTATGATCATCTACTGAATCTGCTGATTTTATAAGAGAATTCTGATAATTACACTATTATCAGACTGTCAGCAGTTTGAAAGACAGTATTATATAACATTTCAATACAGAATAGTGATGAAAATGATAATTATTTAATATATAAGTCTCAAGTAACAAGATATTTACATTACAATTGAGATATCTCATTTCTTTAGATAGATAGTTGATCTGAGATCAGGTAACTAGCTTAATAGTATATTGATTTCACTGATAGAATAGTATACAGTGTCTTATAATATCTTAGTAGTATTCTGATAATGATATCTGTCAATTACACAGTTACTGAGTAATGTTATAATAGTGTTAGAAAGTTCTGCACTGTCTCAACATTATCTTGACATTTAATATTCAGTGATGTGTCACTGAATATAATGATGGAACATGTGTTACGATCGGCGACACGTGACACGGGTGGAATGGTGGATCCACGGTGTAATCACCGTAAATTAACCCTACGTTCTTCCCGTATGGATATTACATATGAGATCACGTGTAGGCGGAGCGGTCGCTACGGCAACGCCACTAGGGCGGATGCTACACAATTAATGCTCGACGTTGCCAGATCACGTGAACGCTAGGCCCTATTAGACACCAAGACCCACCCTTCATCGGAGGCAAAGACTCACCAAAGAGATAGAACAACTGAGTCTGAAGAAAAGCCCATCCCTAAGCCTCTACCAACCGGCCGAGGCGCGGCAATACAACCCCTAAACGACCACTGAAACGAGCAACCCCGCAGCACAATGGACACAACGAGCGCGAAGTAATGGGCGGCATGTAGGCTGATGAGACGGGTGCGTGAAACGATTGGCCAATGCAGGCAAACCATACTCAGGACCTCAAGGAATTAGATCTACACTTGATGAAAGTAGCTCCTACCCCTATGTGATCCAATCCCGCGGCATAGCGTTTTAGCTCACGCATTTCTGTTTCGCTGGAAGGGGAGTTTGGAGGCGTCGGTGGCATGGTGGGTTCCGAATCGGAATCATTCTGGTGTCGCTGAAGAGATGACTCTGATCCAGACTTATATGTTAATGCCCCGTCTTCTCCCTTCAGAGACCACTTCATTTCCGCCTTTGTCTCTCGACTGCTGGATTTGTTCAAATGTCTCCTTTTCGCCTTCTCATATTCCACAGCCACAAGTGCCAATCCCAGGTCGGGGTCTGAGGTCATTGCAGCCGGGGATGGAGGGCTGTGATATACTAGTGACAGGGTTAGCTTTCTGCCAGAATAAGCCTAGGGTTGACAAAGGGAATATGGACGTACTCACCTGCTATACTGGATGGCTCTTCCATTCTCGGTGCCTTCTCTCGTGAAGGGGATGAATCGACAAGCGCATGGATGGTGGAACGTTTTCCTTGAAGGCTCTGCTGTTTGTTCTCTCCTATTTCCCTTACGGGTGCATCACAATAATACGGAGACGGTGGTATAGGGCTAGTAGGCGGCGGTTGAAGAGATGCCTCTGAGTCAGGGGCGGATTTCGATACCTCGACCTTCTTCCTCATTTCCTCTTTCTTTCGAAGCCTGTAGTTTCTGGATGCGATGCTGCCTTTAAAACGTTTCTGGTCGGCTTTTTTGGAAGCGGACTCATAGTCGACGAATTCGATAGGTATCATGGCCGGAGACGGTGAGATCTGATGATCTAGTGGCGAAGGTTAGGACCTTGTGATCTGAGCTGTCCCAGGAGCTAACAAAGAGAAATATTGGTGTACGCACCTTGAGTGTTCCGCTGTTTGGTCTCTCCCGTTTTGTGAGGTACAGGTGCACCATCTGGATGCAATCCACCACCTGGTGACATTGCAGGGCGGTATGGCAAGTCTGCAGGCCGGGGGGACTGGTCTCGGCTCAACACCATTGAGTTGACGACATTGCTATCTGCCTTCTGCGGATCTGAAGCTGCTCGGTGTTCTGACATTGGTACCTACTTTCGCTAAGAGGTTAGCCGGGCGGGGACAAAGCTAGGGGGGGAGTTCAATTAACTGGCAACCAAATTCCGCAGAGATAAAGGGAACCGAGTGAGGAAGAGTTTGCTTATCGGGTTACTTGCCTGATGCTCTTGTTTGCCGTGACACGTATCGAGGCTTTGGCGGAGGTTGAGGTTTAGGGACTCCTGTTGTGTCGTAAGCGCCTCTACCCATTCCGACGAGGAGTGGAAGGGGGGGCATTTGGTATGATGGCTCGGAGGGAGTGGGTGCTTCTTTATTCGTTTTCGAGGAGCCATAGCGACGGACCAAGGAGTCCATGAATACAGATTGTCTGTACCTCCGTCGATGTAGCAAATCTTGCCAGTCAGTTAGTATTACTCTCACAGATATAATCGGGCGGTAGTTGTTTCTATTTATGATTGTCTGTATGATATGTTCGACAAACCAAGGAGTTTTGTTTCTGTGTAAGGAGTCGGGTTTACATGATCTTTCACCAATCTTACACTTACAATTGATCTTACATTACATTTACAAATCTTACGCATGGCAATTTTTTCTTTTTTTTCTCTCATTATTACACGTTACAGAGTCTTACACTAATCCTATGTTGATCTTCCAGTGAAGCAATTCTATCGCACAAAGTCTTGCGCAGAAGTCTATAACTCGAAGCAGTTTCTCATTCTGGCGCCCGTTGAAAGGAAAGATGTCGCAATTCCACAATGAATTTGATAGCTTTCCAGTCAGCCCACTGACAACATGCCCAATTCATTCATCAACGTATCCCGTTTCTCCGATGATGGCTTTGATGATGATGGCTTGCATGCTGGTTGTTGGAGTCGGATTAGGACCACACTTTCATCTTTCATACTCATTCTAAAGGGGTTTTTTTTTTATTGTTGGGAATGGATCAAAGCAACTACCTCAACCCCGAAGCTAACACTCTCTTCTGGAATACCGACATCTACAAACTTAGAACTTCCTCAGCGCCCAAGCTTTCACCATAAAGAAGAACCCTTGCTATGGGACCACGGGCTGCAATCGACTAATGACTCGACTTCCCCATGGTCTTTGCCAGGAATGCTGCCAACCTCAGACTTAGGGCTTCCTCAGTGCCCAAGTCCTGTTTATCGCCGAAATAAGCACTCACCATGGAGTATGGGGCTACAATCGACCGATTTCTCGGCGTCTCGGGCCATGTCAATGCTTGGCACGCTGCCACCTGCAAACTTACCACTTCCCCAGCACCGAGACTCTATTTATCGCGATGAGGTGTACGAGGGCACTGTTCATTTGCCACATGTATAAGCATATCTTCTATCAGTTTATCGCCCTACACCATCATGCTATATATGCTCACCCATTGTTTGTTTTACACAGCGACAGCGCTCGGGGATCCAAATTGATATCTCTCGGACCCTCGGGTTCGATTTTGTCGAGGTGCATAGCGATGTGAAGGTGGTGCATTAGCGTGTGGGGGCGCGTGACGGGATGGGGAAGTGGGTACAACTATCCAATTTGGCTTAGCCGGCTATGAAGTTCCAACTTCTTAAGCTATTTGTTGTCGCAGCCCCAAACACTTTCTTTTAGGATCATTTATCTATCGTTTTGGAATTCTCAATCTGTCAAACTAGCTTTCACAATGGAGCAAGTCAATAATCCGGACCATGGTACCTGTTCATACCTTCTCATGCGACAGTATAATGAGTATGTTTGCCTTACCCACAAAGTCTCTGGACTAGAGCAGGCTTTTTCTAAGCTGCAGCGGGATTTCTCCAAGCTCATGGGAGTTGTCTCTCGGCAAGCAAGCTCTCATGGTGAATTGAAGACGCTCGATACATATGAGGCAGACAACGCGCATAACACTCACAAGCACGACGCTGAACACGGCATAAATCAAGAAATGCCCGATACGCATGAGATCAACAACTCGCACGGTACACACAACACTAACGACACTGAGACGCAGCAGACAACAGCCGCCCGGAGGAATCCAATTGTGATGGGCGGACACAGCGATGCCTCCGAGATCATGGGGGTTATCTCTCGGCTGGCAAGCTCTGTCGGAGAACCAGATGGCAGGATGCACAATGCAAACCTAGAGACGGTCGACACGCTTGAGACAGACAACAAAGATGACGCGAATGGCACACATGACGCTGATGAGATACAACAGACAGCAGCTGCTCAGGGAAAGTCAATCATCGGACGCAGCAAACAACCCCAGCGAAATCTTCACAGTCGTCGCAATCGTCCGAAGAAACAAAATTGCAAGAGCTGTAACCAGGTACTCAAGGCAAAGGGAATGCATCAGCACTATCTGGACATGCACGGAGGACACCTTTGCATGCAATGTGACGAAGTATTTCAAACAAAGGATGACCTTAAAGATCATACCAAAAAGCAGCACTATGAAGTCTGCCAAATATGCAATAAGAACTTCACAAACCGTTCAAACCTTCTCCGACATCGCCGACAACAACATCCAAACCATCGAAGTCAAGCTACAACTTCGGCAGCTACGCAATTTAGTGACTACCATAACTCCACAGCGGCAGAACAACATCCACGATCGCTTCCACCACAACCGACCGCCGCTTCATTGATGCAAACCGTGGAACAAGATGGGCTGGGCGGAACAGATGACCCTTTGTTAGGCATGTTGACTGATGTTAGAAGCTTGCCCTTGGGTCCTCACTGCGAAGACATGGAGGTATGGGATCTCGAAGGTTTGGAGGAATATATGCCTGTGTTTAGGCAGGCTGACAGCTCAGTTGAACTATTTGCATAACATGATCTCCTAGACTATATCACAAGCTTTGAATTGACAAGAGTACTCGGAGACCTGCATTCATCGGAAGCAAAGTAGGTAAACCGCATCAGAAACCCAAGGCGCCCATGGTAGTTTATACGCATAGCCGAATTTCAATTCACTCCTTGGTAACTCCTGGTCCCTCGCAATGTCCACTCGTCGGCCGTCATCAAGTGGAACTCGTATGGCGATCACCGGTCCAGTGCCTATGAAGCCCTCATTGTCGCGTCGATAGAGCTTAATGTACCGCGGAGCCTATCTTTCAAGTTAGAAAGTACTAGAGTTGTGGACAGGCAGATCTTACCTCCAGTTTTAGATGCTTTCCAATTTTCTGGACATGTGCAGGATTCACATTCATTGTCACGATTGAGAGTGCTGTGTGGGGTCTCCTTCGTATTTCATATTCGGGAATTTTGACAAGTTCTTCCAGCTCTGCCTTGCTGTCGTCGTCCAGAAGCACTGGTTCAGGGATTTCCATTGTCTCAAACAAAATAAGGCGATCCGGAGTAGGATATTCGTTGTTGGTTTGGTTGGAACACGTCTTGCCGCGACGTTGTGATGGCGATGAGGAAATTTTGGGTTTGGAGGGGTTTGGCCCCACTGTAAGGTTGCTAGGGCTTAGCCTTAGAGCATGTTGGCCGCTACGGCCGCTGCGGCTAACTTGAGTCACCACTCAATGAACTCATCCACTCAATGAACTTCAAAAAGCACTCTATAGAGCTGTTAATTTTCAACCATAGCATACCATAATAAGATATTAATATTATTTATTAAAGATTAAAATTATATGCAGAATACATATATATGATTAATTCAGAGAATAATTGCTTTGCTTAATAATTTATCTGAAATATAAAACTTATGATTTTAAAATAATTAAATCAGATTGAAGTGTAGAAGATATCAGAAGAAAAATATTATTTAATTTCATTAAAGAGATCTATATATAATATTTATTATTACTTTCAGAAAATTATATAAAGCTTTTATAATATTTTAAACTTATTATTAATTTTTTTACAAGTTTTTATAAAAGTTTTTATAAATATCTGTTTAATTAATTATGTTTTATAATATTTAACAGTATATTTTTTCTTCTCTTTTTATAGCTAAAGCTTTTATTTATTTTATTATTATTTTTTTATAAAATATTTAACTATAGCTACAGTTTTGATTTTCTCACAGTATTAAATATTATTTAAATATTTTTTTTATATTATTTCTTTTATTTTATTTTCTCTTATCATTTAAAGCAATTTGAAAATTTATATTTTTTATTAAAAAAATCTCTCTGTTCAGAGTAATATTTTTATTATTATTATTATTATTCTTTAATTATAGATGTATACAGTCAGAGACTATAATATCTATCTGAGAATCTTTAATTCTCAGAGTTTTTCTTATATCTATAGAGTTAACTATTATACATTTATCAATTTCAGATATATAAAATCAGAAAATTTCAGCTCAGAATATAAAAACTATTTATAAATTACAGTATTTCAACACCTTCTGATACTTTGAAATTATTTAAAAATATCATGACAAAGAAAAAGAGAATAAAGTGTTAAAGATAGATATTTACAGAATAAAATCTCTGCAGTTTACATCTTAAGCTATATACATATTTTAATACTCTATATAATCAACTGCTGTCTCTGTTCTCTCAGACCTGCTTCAGAGATTATTATTCTCTCTAAAGAGCTATCACTCAGCTAGCTTCTATAACTAGCTTACTCATAAGTGAGATTCTCACTAAGAATAATATCAGAGCTATTCAATTCTAGTTAAGTCTCTAATCTTCTAACTGTCAATCTCAGTATTTCAGCCTATTAATTAACTGTCACAGTCTTACTTATACTAATTATCTATTAAGAGTATCTAGATCTTATCTCATCTAAATTCTTGCTAGACTCAGAGTGTTCTAATCAGATAGTTTTTAAATATCAATTTCTCAGAAGTGAGTGTCTAGAGTGAGAGAGATAAGACCTAATTAATTAAGCTTAATAATAATTCACTATTCTGCAGATACTTTAAATCTTAATCACTCTAGTACTAATCTAACTTAAAGTATCTGAGAAGCTATTAATTTTAAGATCAGTGAGAATTAGTATCTGAGAATCTCTGAAATAAATATCTTAAGCTTGATGATAATTTATTATAGTACACTCAAGAGTCTCTGATACTGTTTTATAACTTAACAGTGAAAGCTGTGATTAAGATGACTCTTGCAGGGTTCAAACCTGCCCTCTCTTAGCATTCATTCCCGGGGGGGAAGGCTGCTAATTGAGACTTTATAATAGTGTAGTTAATCACTACATCACCAGACCAGAGTAATATTTTTCTTAATATAGAGAAGTTTTTTAATATTAACTGAAAATTAATAATAATATTAATTTATTTATTATATTAAATTTTATAAAACTTATATTAATTTAAATATACACTACTGAAGTAGTTTTAAAAGTATAAGTAAATACAATTAAATTTTTTTAAAAATATAAGTAAAATTTATAAAATATATATTATATCAGATTCTCTCTCTATAGACTGATTAGTTTTATCTCAGTAAGATATTCACTGATTACTCAGTGAATACTTATTATATATAAAAGACTATATAATAACTAAATCTTAATATATAACTAACTACTCTATTATATTATCTTTATCAGATTATATCTCTTCTTATATATAAGAATCTACTATATTTTTAACAATTAAATTCTTACACTTTATACTTAAATTAAAGATCTAATTATATTCTGAAATACTATATTAGTAATTCTGCAGTTACTTATTATAATGTAAGAATAAGTTCTTACAAATGATTATTCAGATATTCACAGCTTGATATAATATATACTAATAGCTACTAGAAGTATTTACAGTAGAAAGATAAATATTGTAAGAGGCCTACACTGAATAAATCGGTATAATAAATAGATCTTATATAACAAAGTGAAAAACATTAAAAGAAGGAAAAGAAAGAGAAAGTATGAGAATCAACAATCAAAGTAAATATTTATATGTGTATATAATGATGTATGCAGTGAAGCTTCAGAGCAGAAGAATTTATACATGTTCATAGCAGTCAAGAATTGATGATTGAGAATGACTGAGAATCAGAGTATATATATTTAAGAATGAAGTGATAGAAATCTGTGAAGTGTAATAGAATAGTCTATATAATTGATCAGGCACAGTCTGTTACATTAGCCTCTCTCTTCTCATCGGTCAAGAGCCGCAGTCTCAGATAACACAGAACTCAGAGTTCAGATCAAATGATTGTAGCTGACTCATTTCACAAGATATTATCAGCTGTGACTGCAGAGTCTCTCATTGAGAATATCTTCAATTTCTCACTCAAGTTTATTATCTTCTTCTATGATCTCTGGCAGCTGTCAGTCAGAAGTCAGTTGTGAAGAGAATGAATTGATAACAGTGTGACAGAGTAGACTTGTATGAAATACATTATAAATCTCTGATGAAGTATTAAGATAATAGTTGTAACTGTCTAGAACTTCTATCACTATGTATTTTATATAATGATAATTTAATATATAGAATGAGTGTGTAGTCTATATATTCTTGAGATTTAATTACATAAGATCTTCTATTTTATACTGTTCTGCAGAATCTTATCAGATATTAGCTTGATTTTCTTAATCTTGTTTAGTACTTATTATGAAGGCTTCTGCTCAGTTGCAGATATCTCAGAGCTTTATTACTATATTATCAGTGATCTGAATCAGACTGTGAGAGTTCAGTGTGAACTGTATGATCTCTAGAAGATCTAATATCTTTATATAATAACTATATATAAGAAAGAATGAGCTTATATCTGTTAAAACAGCATCTCAGTCATTGATAGTAATCTCTGTATATAGAAGAAGTTTATATTAATTATCTTATAAGTAATTACAAAACTTATAAAGATAATTCTTTACAGTCTAAATTATCTATTCTGATACATTATCAGTCTCAGAGTAATAGACAGTTGATAAATAATATATAATCTTGAGAACTTGACAGATTCTTATTCAGAGAGTGCTTATGAATTAATAGCTCTGATTCAATACTATAGATCTCAGTAATTCATGCATCTAATAGAATAGACTCTGTAGAAAAGCTTCAGTGACTTATTCAGTATTTATTTTATTACAAGATTTCAATATTATATCTTTACTTAATTGATTCATAATGATCAGAATGTTTCTATATTTCTTACTCTCAGAAAGATTAACAGTAAAGTCAATTATCACATTTTATCAGATTCTATCAGAGACATTGAGTGATTTTAACAGACTTGTTCTACAGTTCTTTCACAAGATGATGAAGAAATAATAATTATAGTTTCAGATAAAGTGTCTGATACTGTTTAATATCTTAGATTAGTAGAATTCTCAAGAGATCATCTGATACAGTTATTTATAACTCAGATATTCAGTTATATATAAGTGATACATCTCTTGTATTATTTGAGTATATAAGAATTTAGAGTAAGAGACTCAGTGTTATTCACAGAATTGCAGAATATTATTATTATCAACTGAATATTCTGAGATATTAGTCTTTATATGTAATTCTGAAGAGAATTGAGATGCTTCTTATTGTACTGTTTCAGTGAGAGTCTAAAGAAGTTCATCAGTCTGAGCTGCTATATATCACAGTTTATTCAATGTAAAAGAAGTGAGAATATCAGTGTTAGTATTAGTTTAAAGAGAGAGTGTTCTAATCAGAGAAGTGTATATAGTGTCATGAGTTATTCTATCTTGATTAACTAATATCTTCAGATCTAAGAGCTGATGCTCTCAGTTCATTCAATGAGTGTCTATTATATTAAAAGGCATATCTTGCTCTTGTTATAAGAGAGCATCTGTCATTGAGTTCTGACTGTCAGATCAGTAGTGTATTATAAAATAAAAGTGACTTAAAAACTCAGATTATTATATCTATTATTCAGTGAGTTGACAGATTATTATAAAGTACTTAAGATTCTTATAATCTGTGATTATCTCAAATTCAGAGACACTTTGAAGTTCAGAGTCTCATTCTTTTAGACAGTGTACAATTATGAGAAATTTCTTATCATAGATTTCATAATTGTATTCAGCAGAACTCAGTTTCTTAGATATAAAGACATATGATTGTAGAATATATTTATCATTATATTATAATATAGCTTCTTCTGTTATATAGCTAGAGAAATCAGCTTCAATAACTGTTTTATAATTGAGATTAAATATTATTAGCAGAGAAGTATTGATGAATATCTTCTTCATCTGTGTGAATACAGCTTCAGTGTCTGCTAATCACTGAAATACTGAGTTCTTTTTAATAAGTTCTGTAAGTGATCTCATGATATCTGAGAAGTTTTGTATAAATTACTGATAGAAGTTAGTGAATTCAATGAAGCTTCATATATTTTTCACAGTATACAGAGCCTCTTATTCAAGAATAATAGAGACTTTCTCAGAATTTATTCAAATTCTCTTATCAGCTTCTATGATAAATCTTAGATATTTGATACTCTTGACTTTAAAATCACACTTATCAATATCTATCAGTAGTTCTACTTCTTATAGTTGTTATAATATCTTCTGTACATGTTCTTGATATTCTTTCCTGAACTTATCAGTGAAGATGAGAATGTCATTGAGATATACAG